CAACTATATCGTTGAGAAGACATCATCCAAAAAATCAACGTTACCACGTTTTAAAAAAGGTTTTTCAATAACAGAAATAGATTAGATAATAAAATGGCTAAAGATTCGTTGATATTGATAGAATTATTTTTTAATTAATAATTTTGTGTTCATTTTTTATCTCGATTCAATAGTTTTGTGAGAGAACTTTATTTTATAAGAAATTCAGTAAATTAAGGATAATTTGAAAAGCGTTGTCAAAAAGAAGACACTTTTAAGTTTTTTTTTTTTATTGATTTTTGTTGTTTTGTTAAATGTTTACGGATTATAATGAAAGTTTGGTAATCGCGATGTGTAAGAATTTAAACTTTTCACAAGAAAATTAAGACAAGTTTAATACAGACAAGTTGATTTATTTGATGAAAAATTGTTTTTCTTACCAATAGAAACATTTGTGGATTACTACTTTAGACCGGTGTTAAAAAAACATACATGGTAGCCATAAAATAAAAAAAAGAGCGGAAAAAGCGTGGCACGAGCGGCGGCTGACACACGGCACGGCATACTATGGACACTGCACCTCATGCCGAGTCGGCGTATCGTGCCGGCGAGTTCTCAATCCACATCATGTAATTTGCAATTAGAATTAATTTTGTAATATTTAAAATTATAAACTTATGTTTTTTTTCGCACCCTTCGCTTGCTTTCTTTTTATTCTAGCCTGTCCAATGTATCATCAACTTCGTTTCAGACCACAAAAAAAACACAAATTTTAATATTTTCTCCTTGAAGAAATCGTACACCGACAATAGGAACTGCAGACTTTCCATATCACTTGCGTAATGGTTTGGCAGAAAGTCGTAAATGCCAATGATGTTATGTAGTTTGTTTTATATTTTTCTCTAATTTTGGAACTTATTTAGCCTGAATATAATAAATAATATGAAAAATTACACCTGCTACTATTTTTTTTTAGCCAACACGGGAATGAATAAACTTTATTCATTTCAAAAAGAATCATCAACTTCCATTCAGACCACACAAAAAGACAAATTTAGTATTTCCTCCTTTAGGAAATTATTCAAAGACAATAAAATCATAGCAAAGGCTATATGACTTGCCGAGACCCAATTTAGTAAGGTACATTGTTTTATTTGGATAAACAAAAAGATACTGCAGTAGGGACGGGTAATATATATTCGTATCATAAATACAATATCTATGAAACGGCTGATGACCTTTTTTCTTATCAAAACAAAAGGTATATAGATATCGGACTGGTAGGAGTAATCTCTTCCTTATCAAATTAACACTAGATTTACCAGACCACTCATTTAGACTGGTCGTACAATTTCAATTCAAAATTCCTACAAAATAAAACTTTTTTTTCACAAATGAATTTATGACTTTTGTTGCTATAATTAAAGAACACGTTTTATAAAGTTAATGTTGTTTTTTATACATTAGTAATAAATATTATTTTTGTTATTGACATTTATACCAGTACCAGTCAAAATGACAGGTTGTGTTTTTATGAAAAAAATTATGATTTTGGAAGAATCATGAGACCGTTGCAGTACATATAGCACAGAAGCGTCTTTTGTATCTTTCGTTATCGTCTTTTTTCTTTCACTATCGTCATTGTGTTGATGACGTCATTTTGATAAGCATTTGTTTTGTAAATGCTCTAGATATGTAAAGTCTTGTTTCTAGCTTTGTTCAACTCGCAGAATTTTTCTTATAGACAAAGTTTTTATAGTGATTGTGAGCCCCGAAAAATGTCAAAAAAAGCAAAACTTTCTACATATTTAGAAAATGCAACTAACATACCTCAGGAATGTTCAGATGTAGAGAGTGAATTATGTGATAGTGATGGTGATAATAGTAGTGCTATTATCGAAAGTGACGATGAGGAAATTCCTAATGAAGACAATATAAATCAGTCAAGTGACAGTGATTGCGAAAATATTCTAAACAAACGCACACGACGATGTATGCGATTCCCTTCCAGTTCTGAAGATGAATGTGGAAGTAACGTACCAAATCAGCAAACTGAAATTGCTTCCGACGGAACTATTTGGACGAGAATTGAAGGAGGTATTGCTGGTAGATTACCACTTCATAGTGCTTTTAAAGATGTACACGGGACAACAGCATGTGCTAAAAGAAACATTATGGACGGGAATCTAAGTAGTACGTTCCTATTACTGATTGACAACCACATTTTGGAACATATTCGAATTTGTACTGAGTTAGAAGCCTCTCGAGTTTTGGGGAAAAACTGGACAATTACGCAAGAAAAATTTAAGGCATTTCTAGCAATATTATATGCACGTGGAGCGTACGAAGGAAATAATTTGAGGCTTCAATATTTGTGGAATAACAAGTGGGGACCATCATTTTACTCTAACACTATAAGTAGACGTGATTTTACTGAGATTTTGCGATACATTCGTTTCGACAAAAAAAAATCAGAGGAGTCAACGTTTGCAGACAGATAAGTTCGCTTTATCAGTTTGGGATAAATTTATTGAAAACAGTAAAAATTGCTTCAAACCGGAAGCTTATATTACCGTGGATGACCAACTATTTCCATCAAAGGCCAGATGCAGGTTTACTCAATACATGCCAAATAAACCTCAAAAATTTGGCATAAAATTTTGGTTAGCGTCCGATGTAGAGACGAAATATGTGATAAATGGTTTTCCGTATTTAGGAAAAGACGAGACACGAAATGCATCAACCCCCCTAAGCGAATTTGTCGTGATGAAACTTCTTGAACCATATACCATGAAAGGTAGAACTGTAACAACAGATAATTTTTTTACAAGTATTCCTTTAGCGTTAAAATTAAAATCTAAAAATACTGCGTTGCTTGGAACAATACGCGCAAACAAGAGGGAGCTGCCAAAAATTTGCAAACGGAAAAAATACAACATGGAACGTTTCTCAACGTATCGTTTTATAATAATACTAAATTTGGCGTCGATATTACTGATCAAATGGCACGAAAATATACGGTGAAATCAGGATCCAGAAGGTGGTCACTTCAAGTATTTTTCAATATTTTAGATTTAGCCGCAATAAATAGCTGGATATTGTACAAAAACACTACAGGAGAAAATATCTCACGAAAAAACTTTCTGTTTCGATTAGCAGAAGAACTTGCTTCAGAATATCAGACTTCAAGGCAAAAACCAGTCGAAGTCAATACACCAACCACAAATGCCACTGTTCCTGTACGAAAATGGTGTCAAATAGGATATTGCAATAACAATAAAATTACAAATATTTGCAATAAATGCAAAAAAAAAGTCTATGCGGAAAGTGTACACGCAGCAAAATCTACACATGTACAAATTGTGAGCAACAAACTGTAAACAATTAAATGTTTTGTTATTTGACAATGTCTATAAATCCATTTATGTATTATACTTAATATTGTTCAATTTTATTTTTATCCTTTTTAAGAGTAAATATAGACTGGAAACCACAATAAGCCTTTTTTCTAATGCACCTGTCATTTTGACTGGTTTGGTACAAATAGGTATACGTAAACAGCTGGTATATCTAGTGTTAATATTTTATAATTTCTATTTTAAAATTTTTTATTTAGTACATGGATTCGCACGTCTACAGATTTTACTTTGCAACAAACAATTTTCTGCTCCACACGCAAATATGGTAACATCAATGGTAACCATGTAACCAAAAGTAATGAGATCAACACGGGAACGAATGAACTCTTGAATACGAATGAATAATTATTTCAAAATGAATCATCAACTTCCATTCAGACCACAAAAAAGACAAATTGAGTATTTTCTCCATTGGGAAATCATTTATTGACAATCAAAATATAGCAAAAACTATACGGACTTTCCGAGATCCATTTAGTTAGGTACACTGTTTTATTCGGATAATCAGGAAGATCCTGTAGTAAGGATGGGTAATAGGTATATACATATGATAGATATATAAAATATCTAAGAAAAATGATTTATCAAAACTAAGAGACATATAGATATAGGACTGGTATTCTCGGTAATCGATTTCTGTCGTTCAGAAATTTTAGTAGGCAATTTGCAATAACAATTAATATTGTAATATTAAAATTGCTGTTTTTTTTTTCTTTTGCACTCTTCGATTGTTTTCTTTTTGTTCTAGCCTGTATTCCAACAATTGAAACAATAACAAAATAACAACAACTCAGTACGAAACTTAATTTATTGATTTTTTTTTAAACTTGAAACACAATTTGACGATTCAATTGATGGAAATTGTATCTATTTATTGTTTTATTTCTGTCAGAGTCTGAAAGAAGTAATCCTGTTTTCTGACGTCTCAATTTCACACAGTCCCCTACAAACTCTATTATGTATTTCGAAAACACAACATGTAACAAGATATTTAATATTGTACACAGATTTCAATCGTGAACACACTGATGAAGTAAGCGTTTTGTAGATACATTACACGCACATTTTTGTTGTATTCCAATGCAGTCGTACTTGAAGCCAGTTTATATTTTGTTGTTTTATTAAAAGAGACTGGCTGATAACCAGCACAGCTGCTAAAATAAACATACACTACTGTTCAATTTATACGTTTTCAGCAACAATGTTTATTGTGTTATTCAGCCCATTAAGAAAGTACAATCCACGAAAAGCGTGGCACGAGCAGCGGCCACTACAAGGCAAAGCAAAACATGGACACTGCACCTCATGGCGAGTCGGCGTATTGCGCCGGACAATACAGTGGACCCCCGATAATCCGGCCCCTGTCTAATCCGGCGCCCCCTGTAATCCGACATGACAGAATTATGTTTGACAATCTTTGCTAATATAGATCACGCAAGTTTGAACAGGTCACAACTCGTACGCGCCACCGCTATTGTGCTCGACGCATATGCATTGTTTTACTTAGTTTGAATTTGACTACTAGTGATAGCGATACGGCCTAGCGTACGTTCATTGTTTACTATTTATTCATTGTGTATTAAGTATATGTAGTACCTAGTAATGTCGTCACAAACCCAGAAGCGAAAGCACAAAACGTTGACAATTAAAGAAAAATGTGATATTTTAGATCGCTTAAATCGCAATGAAACTTTCAGTAGTTTAGCAAGTGAATACGGCGTAGGCCGATCTACAATTTATGACATTAAAAAAAACCACGAGAAGATTAAGAAGTTCGTGTCAACTACTGACTGCGGGCCAGGCAAGAGACAGACACTCAAGAAAGCTGAACATCCAGAAGTGGAAGAAGCTTTGTACATGTGGTTTCTTCAGGAAAGAAACAGGCATGCACCAATTTCGGGACCCATGTTGGCGATGAAAGCTAAGTTTTTTTATAAGGAAATAACAAAAAAAGATGATTTTATGGCCAGCAAAGGATGGCTAGAACGTTTTAAAAGTCGTCATGGCATACGTTTAATGACTATTACAGGAGAGAAACTTTCTAACGATGCCACCTGCATAGAGCCCTTTAAATTAAGATTTTTGCAAAAGGTGAACGATTTTAATCTTGACCCGTCACAGGTGTATAATGCAGACGAATCAGGGCTTTTTTGGCGTGTGATGCCTAACAAAACTTTCGTTTCTTGTAACGAAAAAGACGTACCTGGACGAAAAGTGAGTAAAGAGCGTGTAACCATACTACCATGTGCTAATGCTGCAGGTACACACGCGCTTAAGATGGTGGTCATTGGGAAATCTAATAAACCAAGGGCATTCAAAAACATTGATTTACCTGTACACTATTACGGACAAAAAAGTGCATGGATGACAAAAGACCTTTTCAAAAAGTGGTTTGATGAATGCTTCGTACCTGAAGTTAGAAAATGGTTAAAAGATCATAATTTTCCTCAAAAAGCGTTGTTGCTTCTTGATAACGCTCCCGGTCATCCGTCTGAAGAAGAACTGACAACTGAGGATAAATGCATCACTGCGATGTTTCTTCCGCCAAATTGCACTGCACTGATTCAACCAATGGACCAGAACATCATTCAGTTTGTTAAGCAAGACTATAAAAAAACCTACTTTTGAGAGCCGTATCAAAAGACCAACCAATAGAAAAAACTTTAAAAGAATTTAATATGAAAGACTTGGTTTTTGCTCTTAGTCAGTCGTGGAGTGCGTTACCGTCATCAACTATTAAATCGTCTTGGAAAAAGTTATGGCCAGATATAATCACCACTCCTAGCAACGATCCACAAATCAGTGTAACTTCGGAAGTTATAGAACAAGTCTCTACTGAAACACAGATAAGTCCGGAAGATTTGGAAGTCTGGTACCGTGGAATGGATAAAGAAGAAAATGTTTTTCTTGAAATGTCTGACAAAGATATTATAAAAGAGGTTTCTAATAATACAACAAACGATCAGGAAGATAACGACGACGTGATTGCAACTGCTCCACAAGTCACAGATCAAGACGCAGTTAACGCTTTTGAGCTAGGTTTACAATGGGCTGAAGAGAATGGTACATCCTACAACGAACTTTTACTTTTGAGAAGACTGAGGGACAAAGCTCTGATCTCGCGTTATAACAACCTTAAACAAAAAAAAATTGATGAATATGTATTTCAAAGCTTCATAATTTGATATAGTATTCACTACATGATTTTGATTAATAATTCTTGATTATTTTGGTAGATATGTATGTGCATTTATGCTTAATTTTATAATAAAACGTAAGCTCTCAATTGTTATTTAATTTACTAAATTCGACTTACATAAATTAAGTCTGATTTGTACTTCAAAGTACATACATATGTACGTATAATATAGTATAGACTCTCGTCATTAGATATGTAATTTGTCGGATTACAAGGTACTCTTTCGTAAAAAAATCCGGACTATAGGGGTCTTAGGCAGTGGTCTATAATCCGACAAATTCGATAGTCCGACACTGCCCTGCATAATGTTTGCCGGATTACCGGGGGTCCACTGTATTCAATCGACACCTTGTAGTTTTTAATTCGAATTAATTTTGTAATATTTAAAATTATAAATTTTCGTTTTTTTGCGCCCTTTGCTCGTTTTCTTTTTACTCTAGCCTGTACTCCGATGTATTATCAACTTCGTTTCTCACCACCAAAAACATAAATTGAGTTTTTCCTCTTTGAGAAACTCGTACACCGACACAAACTGCGAAGACTATCCATATTATTTGCCGAATTGTTGGGCAAAAGTTCGTAAATGCCAATGTTATGTAATTTTTTTTTATTATTCTCTTATTTTGGAAGTTATTTCGCCTCAATATAACAAATAACGTGAAACATTATACCTGCATATTTTTCATATTTTTGCACGCCTGTATTCCAATAATTGAGAAAAATAACGACAAACCTGTAGAAAACTTAGACAATTTTTTTAATACTTGGCAAAACAAGTAGACGACTCACCTCATGGAAATGTACTTATTGATTTATTTTTGTCACACATTATAATAGATTAAAATAGCATTTTTCGATCTCTCAATTTCACACACTCCCGTACAAACACTATTGTATGTCTGGGAAACACAACAGATGACAAGATATTTGATTTTGTAAATAGATTTCAATCGTGAACACACCGATGAAGTATCAAAATTTTATTGCAATGCAGTCGCACCCGAAACCACTTTATATTTTTTATTTTATTAAGACTGAGACTGGCTGGAGACCAGCGCTGTGCAGTCATACTCGTACACATTGTACTGTGACACAAGCGACATCACCTAAACCAGCCCATTTTGCATAGTTTGTACATATTTGTAATATTTCCTGCCAATAAGAATTTTTCTATTACTATTTTTTTAAATTAATTGTATTTAGAACGTGGATTCACGTGAATTAATAAGGCCAACACGGGAATGAATAAACCTTATTGATTTCAAATACAATTACCGACTTCTATTCAGATCACACAAAAAGACAAATTCAGTATTTCCTCCTTTAGGAACTCATTCAAAGACAATAAAATCATAGCAAAGGCTATATGACTTGCCGAGACCCAATTTAGTAAGGTACATTGTTTTATTTGGATAAACAAAAAGATACTGCAGTAGGGACGGGTAATATATATTCGTATCATAAATACAATATCTATGAAACGGCTGATGACCTTTTTTCTTTATCAAAATCAAAAGATATATACATATAGGACTAGTAGGAGTTATAATCTCTTCCTTATCAAATAAATATTTTATAATTTCTATTACTCGCACGTCCACAGATTTTACTTTGCAACAAACAATTTTCTGCTCCACACGCAAATATGGTAACATCAATGGTAACCATGTAACCAAAAGTAATGAGATCAACACGGGAACGAATGAACTCTTGAATACGAATGAATAATTAATTATTTCAAAATGAATCATCAACTTCCACTCAGACTACAAAAAAAGACAAATTGAGTATTTCCTCCATTGGCAACTATTATACATATTTATCGACAATCTAAATATAGCAAAAACTATACAACTTTCCGAAACCCATTTAGTTAGGTACACTTTTTTATTCAGACAAACAGGAAGATCCTTTAGTAAAGATGAGTAATAGGTATATATGATAGATATAATATCTAGGAAAAATCCTTTATCAAAATTAAGAGATATATGGATCTAGGACTGGTATTCTCGGTAATAGAATTTCAGTCATTCAGAAATTTTAGTAGGCAATTTACAATTACATTTTTGTAATATTTAAAATTGCTTTATGTTTTTTTTCTTTTGCACCCTTCGGTTGTTTTCTTTTTATTCTAGCCTGTATTCCAACAATTGAAACAAATACCAACAAAATAACGATAACCCAGTACAATTTAATGTATTTTTTTTTTTAATATTGGCAAACAATCTAAGGATTCAACTTTCTATTTATTGTTTTATTTTTGTCAGAGATTTAATTTCACGCAGTCCCCTACATACTCTGTTATGTATTTGGAAAACACAACATATAACAAGATATTTAATATGGTACACAGATTTCAATCGTGAACACACTGATGAAGTAAGCGTTTTAAAGATACATTACATTGAAAATTTATGGTATTGAAAGCACATTCTTGTTGTATTCCAACGCAGTCGTACTTGAAACCTTAAAAAAAGTTTATATTTTGTTGTTTTATTAAAAGAGACAATTTTTTGCATCACAAACAAATAAGGAAACATCAATAGTCACAAAATTAATGACACCAACACGGAAATGAGTGATGAACTCTTCCTTATTAAAAACCAAAAGAACCGAAATATATATAGATATGCGACTGGTAGGTATCGGCGACATTTAAAATGAATGATAACCTTTTTGTAATTTTCCCTTTGGTGAGTCTTTTTGTCACATATTGATCCATACAGATATTAGACAAAACTACAACTACGAATATGCCATTGTACTCCATAAGAACTACCCAAGACAATAATTCCGTAGTTAACAATAAAATAATACTACTGTTCAATTTATATGTTTTTAGGCACAATGTTTATTGTGTTACTCAGCCCATTACGAAAGTATAATTCACGAAAAGCGTGGCACGAGCAGCGGCCACTATAAGACAAAGCAAAACATGGACACTGCACCTCATGGCTATCAGCGTATTGCGCCGGACAATTTTCAATCGACACCTTGTAATTTTTAATTTGAATTAATTTTGTAATATTTAAAATTATAAACTTTCTTTATAAACTTCGCTTGTTTTCTTTTTACTCTAGCCTGTACTCCGATGTATTATCAACTTAGTGTCACACCACAAAAAACATAAATTGAGTTTTTCCTCCTTGAGGAACTCGTACACCGACACAAACAGAGAAAAGACTATCCATATTATTTGCCGAATCGTTTGGCAGAAATTCGTAAATGCCAATGTTATGTAATTTTTTTTTCTCATATTTCGGAAGTTATTTCGCCTCAATATAATAAATAATGTGAAACATTACACCTGCATATTTTTCATATTTTTGCACCCTCCGGTTGTTTTATTTTTATTCCACTGGCCTATATTCCAATAATTGAGAAAAATAACGACAAACCTATAGAAAACTTAAGACAATTTTTTTTAATACTTGACAAAACAAGTAGACGACTCACCTCATGGAAATGTACTTATTGATTTATTTTTGTCACACATTACAATAGATTCAAATCCCAATTTTTATCTCTCAATTTCACACACTCCCGTACAAACACTATTGTATGTCTGGGAAACACAACAGACGACAAAATGTTTAATTTTGTAAATAGATTTCAATTGTGAACACACCGATGAAGTATCAAAATTTTGTTACACATTTACAAGACACAAATTACAATCCTATTTTTTTATTTCTCAATTTAAGTCTCGTACAAACTCTATTGTGTCTGGAAAACACAATAAATAACAAGATAATTAATTTTGTAAACATTTCAATCGTAACCACAAGGATGAATTTGGTATTTTGTAAAATTGAATATATAAAAAAATTTATTATAATGCAGTCGCACCCGAAACCACTTTACATTTTCTTTTGTTTTCTTAAGACTGAGACTGGCTGGAAACCAGCGCTGTGCAGTCATACTCGTACACATTGTACTGTGACAAGAGACACCAGCTGAACCAGCCCATTTTGCCTACTTTGTATGTATTTGTAATATTTCCTGCCAATAAGAATTTTCTATTACTATTTTTTTAAATTAATTGTATTTAGTACGTGGATTCATGTGTCTACAAATAGATTTTAGTTTGAAACGAGCAATTTTTTGCTCTGCAAACAAATATGGTACAATCAATAGTCACAAAATTAATAATATCAACACGGGAAAGAAAGAACCTCATTGATTTCAAAATCAATTAATTACTTCCATTCAGACCACACAAAAAGACAAATTGATATTTCCTCTTTTAGGAACTCATTCAAGGACAATGAAATCATAGTAAAGACTATATGACTTGTCGAAAAACATTTAGATAGGTGTATTGTTTTATTTGGGCAAACAGTATTTATTTTAAAATTGCTTTATGAATTTTTGTTTTTTCTTTTCCACCCTTCGACTGTTTTCTTTTTATCCTAGCCTGTATTCCAACGATCGAGACAAATAATGACAATCCTGTAGGATAGATAAACATTTTTTGTTGCTAGTCTACATATAGATTTTACTTTGAAACAAGCAATTTTTTGCTCCGCAAATAAATATGGCAACATCAATTGTTACAAAATTAATAAGGCCAACACGGGAATGAATAAACCTTATTGATTTCAAAAACAATTACCGACTTCCATTTAGATCACACAAAAAGACAAATTCAGTATTTCCTCCTTTAGGAACTCATTCAAAGACAATAAAATGATAGTAAAGATTACATGACTTGCTGAAAACCATTTAGATAGGTATACTATTTTATTTGGGCAAACAGTATCATACATAGATACAATATCTAGGAAATACCACTTATCAAAACCAAAACATATATAGGATATAGAACTTAGGTATTCTCGGTATTCGAATTTTAAACAGACAATTTGAAATTGTCTTTGAATCTGAAAATTACTTTTTTTGCATCCTTCCACTATTCTCTTTTTATTCTAGCCTGTATTCCAACAAATGAGACAAATAGTGACCGAATAACGACAATCCTAACCCTAGGAAACAAACATTTTTTGTGGCTATTTTTGTTTTTATTATTTTCTTATACTTTTTTTTGTGTTCTGCTTTGTTTGTATTTATTATTATGATTTTTAATACTTGACAAACAAACTAAAGACTCACTTCATGGAAATGTATTTATTATTTTATTTCTGTCACGTATGTTAAAAGACGTAATTCTGTTTTTATAATCTCTTGACTTCACATAGTACGAACCCATACGAACTCTATCATATATTTGCAAAACAATAGATAACAAGATATTTTATATCGCAGATTACAATCGTGAACACACATCGATCAAGTTAGTAGTGGTTTGTACACACATTAGATTCAAAATTGATGGAATGAAAAACACATTTTTGTGACAATGCAATGTAGTCGTACCCACAACCAGACCAACATGGGGATGAATAAACCTTATTGAATCCAATAACAATAATCAACTTCGTTTCAGACCACACTAAAACACCAATTGAGTATTTACTCCTTTAGGAACTCATTCGACGACAATAAAAATATAGTAAAATAAAAAAAAATACCGCAGGACATATTACTCAGCGACATCTGGTTGCACACTAATAAAACTTGTGCAATACTACCTTACTACAAACTAATACACAAATACTTTTTTTTCAATTTTAAAGGATTTTATTTTCTTCAGGTATACAGCCCTGTTGTATCCTGTTGTAACCGATTTCTCATATAAAATTTTATCTATTTTTAAAAAATATACATAAAAAAAAAATACACTACAATAACAACCTTGTCTCTTTAAGCAAGCATATATCAATATTTTATTCAGTGAGATATTTCTGCAACAGAGCTCTCTTACTCTTGAGCTTCGTATATTAAACTGTGCTATATGTAGATATATCAATCATGAAGTAATATTAAATTTAATACAACACTACAAAAACACTCACGAATATGATTTTTTTGTACTGTGCAGAGATAGAATCTGCAATCAACGTGAGTAGCGGTAAATACTGTCCACCATGTACCACCAGACCTTAAATTGATCCTTACTTGACCACAAACAAACCCAACTCCCATTCTGCTAACGAATCAAAAGAACAAATTTCCAACAAGACCAGAGAATTTCAAAATATCAACTTACAAGTAGAAAATAACCAACAACAAAAATATTATGAAACCTTGACAAATATAATTCAGTGTTTCCACCCAGAACTTCTATCTTCATATAGCCACACAATGTTCCATAGTAAACATGAATCCTTTTTAGAGAATGCAGCTGTGGAAGCAACTTCCAGCTGATGATTTTTTTTCTATACTGACTTGACACATTGAATCCATAGTCACCTGTTGGTAATTATTTATGAAATCTGCCTCTTCAAGTTGCAGGTCCCACATGAGATTG